CAAACTGGATGTAGCATTCCAGGTGTGGTCTTAAGGCTTTATAAAGAGGTACTAATACTGTGTTTGAGGGGCTGCCACAAAGAAGAGGGAGTCAAGCTATTCTCCAAAGCACCTGAAGGCAAGACAAGAAGCAATGGATGGAAACTAATCAAGGAGGGAAGCAACCTAGAACTAAGGAGAAATTTCCTGATAGTTAGAACAATTAAGCAGTGGAACAACCTCTCCAGAAGCGGTGAATGCTCCAACACTGGAAGTTTTTAAGAAGAGACTGGATAGCCATTTGTCTGAAATGGTATAGGGTTTCCTGCCTGAGCAGGGGGTTGGATTTGAAGACCTCCAAGGTCCCTTACAACTCTATTATTATTATTATTATTATTATTATTATTATTATTATTATTATTATTATTATTATTATTATTATTATTATTATTATTATTATTATTATTTAGACGTGAACCTCAGTCAACTGAACATTCAAATTGACTGGTGCTGATGGTTGACATGGGTTGCTGCCAGCATCCTAGGTATCAACCAAGTACCCCCTTAAAATTATTATTATTATTATTATTATTATTATTATTATTATTATTATTATTATTATTATTATTATTATTATTAATATCATCATCATTATTTCAAGTGATATTGATTCCATTTTTCTATAGATTAGGAATTTACAACAATTGCACTAGCTTTTTTGGCTGCTGCCACACACTGCTGGCTCATGTTTATGTGATCATCCACTAGGATTCCAAGGTCCCTTTCACAGTTGTTATTCAGTCTAGACATTAATGATTTAACAGAGCTAATGTAGGATCCTTATTTACACACACCTAAGATGATAAATACATATAATAACACCTTTTTATATGTTGATGATATGAACTTTTATCATAATGCCAAATTAGATTCCATAGGCTGTATGGAGATGAACTTTGGAACTTAAAAAAAATCACTACAAGAACAAACACAAACAAACCTCCTAACAAGTATTTTGGGTATGGAAAAAAGAATTTCAACTGCTGCCCTCAGAGCTGAATTGGGATTTTTTACAATTTGTTCTTTGTCTAAAATCAGGGCACATAGTTAGTGGTGTAAAATTTAAGCTATGGAAACTGACAGAATCCCAAACGTATGAAAGACCTCTTGGATTGTATAATTGATAAACTAAGAGCTGTGATCCACCTGTCTTTTCTGCACTTGATGAACAAGCTTGCTGCACAAAAAATATCAAAGGAGAGAAAGATAGAACTATCCTCAGTAATGTTGGAGCTTTGAAATGAATGATCCACTACAAATGGACCTTCCAAATGGACAATTTCTGAAATGCAGAAATGCCTAAACATTTTAGAGCAGTATTTACTCAACCAAGATTTGAGCAGCTGGACACAATAGATAAACATGGGAAATCAACCAAATCCCTTATCATGAACAGACTTGTATTTGTGGAGCTCCAGAGATAGAAGTCGTAACACATCTATTACACTGGTCTACAAATTTTGGGAAATTATCGACCTCCAAGATAATGTGCTAATTCTTACATATTTTGATTAGATGAATTAGAAAGCAGGTGATAAAGGTGCTGGTTGGCTAAAGTTTCAGGATATTTCACAATAAAGATTTATACACAGGCGAATATATTTGCCTAAAAGGGAGGGAGGTGTCTAGTGATCATGATGCTTTGTAACTTCTCAACAAAGTATGGTAGAACAATGAAAATGGTACCACATGGAAGTGTATAAATTTATCTTCACTTTGAGACTAAAGATTATTTCAGTATCAGTGGTGTAAGGAAGAGAGAGATCTGGGACTGCATATTAGATGTACAACCTATTGGGATACTTATATTAAAACAACATATCTCCCGTGTGGTCAAAATCCCAAAATTAAGTATAATATGGCCCTCTATTTCAACATTTTTTTTCAGTGTAGATCTGCATATCTGGCTCAGATTCCAATGAATTGTAGGGTGATGCAGAAATATGATTTGCATTCTTTATTCCTATTCGGTTTTATTTAGATTCTTTAATTCTGTTTATATATATGATCTTGTTAATGTTCTTTGTTGTATATTTTGTATTTTAATGTGGCCTAAAGACTAATCAACAATAACCTATTTTAATATGTTCATGAGATTCAAGTTGGATTGATTAAAAACTAATATTTTGGAATTGATCTAACTGGAAATATAATATAGCATTTTTCATTGCTTTTTCAGATCTATTTTGAATTTTTTTCAGAGTCTCTGCATGATAAAAGTGGCCCTTTTATCACCCACTTTTCCCCAAAAATGGGGTCCTCTATCCAGCAACTGTCCAATTGCTTCTCCATTTCAGATGGAATTTGATTGGTCTCTTTGCTTCAGACACAGAGAATGGAGAGAATTTCATGAGGACTTTGACTCCTTTGCTTGTCAGGAATGGAATCTGTGTGGTTATATCACAACAATTCTCAAAAACTAGACATACAACATCTCTCAGGGATGCTATCTCTAACTGGAGACAAGTCAATGTCTTTTTTCTATTCATCGAATTGGATTCCTTTTGGGACAGAATTCTTCCTGTCCATTTAACATTTAGACTTTTGCCAGGATACATTGAAAGGAAAGTCTGGATCATGACAGTGGTCGGACTACATACAATGAAAAAACACAAACTTCTTAAGTACATCCATAGCATATGGACCTTTACTTTTTCTGTAAAACAAAGGCCAAAAGATGATACCTTTGAACCCAACTTCTTTGTGGAACCACCATTTGGAGATCAGTCTTTTCGCTGTTCTTTTTCAAAGAATGTCTTCTCTGTCAAAGGCCGGAGAAGATGCACCCAGAAAGCACCACTGAAGATCCAACAGAAAAGGAACATGATCAAGATCACCACTTACCACCATTTTTATAGTGTCATAAAGACTCTAGCCCATGCCTTAAAGGCTGCATATTCCTCCAGATCCAAGAGGAGAAGAAAAGGGGGAGAAGAAAGATCAGGAGCACCAAGGCT